ACTACTACTACTACTATCTCTGCGACCACTAGTAGTAGTTGTAGCAGTACTACGACCATTCCATTGTCATTTATGCGATTGAATACTACGATTACTACTACTACTACTATTACGACCACTACGACTGCTACTAATCTTACTTCTACTACTACTACTTCTTCTATTGCTACCACTACTACTACTACTACTACTACTACTACTACTACTACTACTACTACTACGACTACTACTACTACTTACTACTACTTACTACTACTACTACTATTGCTACCTCTACTATTTCTACGATCACTACGACTACGACTACGACTACGACTACTACTACTACTACTACTACTACTACTACTACTAGTAGTACTACTAGTACTACTACACTACGACTACTACGGCTATTACTACTAGTACTACTACCACTACTACTACTACTACTACTACTACTACTACTACTACTACTACCACTACTACCACTACTACTACTACTACCAACTACTACTACTACGACTACGACTGCACTACTACGATTGCTACTACAAATACTACTAACTCCTACAACTACTACTAACAAACTACAACTACTACTACTACTACAACTAACTAAACTAACAACAACTACTACTACTACTACGACAACGTACTAACTGCTACTACTTCCACTACACTAAAAACTACGCGACGAGTAACGACTAACGACTAACGAGTACGACTACTACTAATTACTACAGACTACTACTACACTACTACTAAACTACCAACTACTACTACTACTACTACTACTATGACACTCCCACTACTCCCACACCACCTCTATAACTAACGACGACTACTACTACTACTACTACTACTACTACGAACTACTACTACTACTACTACTACTACTACTACTACTACTACTACTACTACTACTACTACTACTACTACTACTACTACTACTACTAACTACTACTACGACTACTACGACTACTACGACGACGACTACTACTACTACTACTACTACTACTACTACTACTACTACTACTACCATCCCTCGGTGGCCCGACGTTGAGGTGCCGCAGTCGCCGAGCGGCCCGCCTTGCTTTCCGGGGGGGGCGACTCGGATTCGCCCAAAGCCGACTGGAGTGTTTGTGTGTTTACCAAGGGTTCTGGATATCACAAGCGGGTCCCAGAGATGCGTCGGCTCGGCTGGCCAGCCGTCATGCTGAATGCCAATGGGGTCCCTGTGCGCGCTGTGTGCGGCGGGCTCGCAGGCTTGCAGCAGACTGTAGGACGAGCAGAGAGAGTGGCTGGACTGAGGGCGTTACAGCACATGCCGTCGGTCAGGCCCATTGTCAGTGAGTTGCTCGGGTTCGTGAGCGAAGGAGAGCATTGACGCGAGGGTGCGAACGAAAAATGACTTGTGCCAGCGCTGCGTTCCCTGGCGCGCGGAGGCAGCATGTCAGCTTGAAGCGTGAGCCTCCGAGTTTCGCTTGGGCCCACTCCCACATGACCGAGGATGGGGTTCTCTTCCCCGCTCCTGAGGACCCCCCCTCCTCCACTCCTGTGGTGTGTGGCAAGCAGGTGGGCTGATTTGTTCGCCGAGTTCGGGGCCCTGTCTGTCAAGGTGCCCGAGGGGCACGCGAGATTCTACGAAGATTGCCTCGCAGGGTCCGCCCAGTACGCCAAGGATTTGGGTTGGGCGGTCCAGATGAGTTGCCAACTCGAGCTGTGGTCTGAGAGAGCCGTGCTCACTGCGGCCACGAGTCGGCAGCCTTGTCCAGTGGAAAAGAAAATGACCCTGTTGTTGCATGACCACGATCTGGTGGAGATTGGCGACAGGTTGTTGCGCAGGAGATGTAGGCGATCGGCCAAGACGCCCGAGGCACGGCGACAGCTTGCTGGTGGCTCCGAGTGTCGTTGCCGCCCGTCTGCAATCCGCACCTTGCAAGCGCGAAGCGTGGAGGCTGCCGCCACCACCCGCCCGGCTGGGGGTCTGCGGTGTCGGGGCCTGTTGGGGGGTGTCTGGGGGGGGTCTCGTCTGGGGCGGGGTCGGGGGTCCGTCTGGGCCCCGTGGCCTCGGTTGGGCTGGCCCCTCTTGGGTCTTCTTGGGGGGGGGGCCTGTGGCTGCCCCCGAGGGCGAGGCTGAGGCTCTTTTGGGGGGGGGGGGGCTCGGGCTCGGTGGAGCCCGAGGCCGGGCCGCTGAGGCTCACCGCGCGGGGGGGGACACGACGTTGCCGCCACGGGCACGGTCGTCTAGTGTCGGCGGCGCGGTGCCTACAAAGACTTGCCCCCCAGCGGGCGGCGAATCCTTAGCTGCTTGCCGGGGGCAAGCACCCCAAGTCTGGTAAGCCTCGGGAGGGGGGGAAGGACTGAGATTCGTTTTGTCTCTCCTCGGAGCTGTGTCTGTGAGCAGACGCTGCCTCTTGAGCTCGCTCTCGCTCCTGTCCCCTATCCTCCTGGATTTCCTGTTGGGCTATGTGACCAAAACGTGGACCAAGCGGCATCCGCGCTCACTGCGTGCGGCCGCCTCGGGCACCCACTGGTCTCAGGAAAGGCTCGTTCGGCATGGTTTCGCCTGCTCCCCCGGGTGTCGGCCGTGTCGTAGTGGGCCTTGTTCGCTTTTCCATCGCAGGTTCGAGTGCGCTGCGTGGCAGGAAGACCCCAGGCAGTTCCTCTCAGCCGAATGCCTGGTTGCGGCGCGCCTGGCCTAGCGTTCGGGGGAAGCAGGCGGCTTCTTTGCGAACGGGGTCTTCCCGTCCCCTCGCGGGTTGATTTCCCCTCCCCTCCGCTCTGAGCAGCGCGATGTTTCCTGGATCCATCGGCATGTTGACGGCATTATCTCGGGTAAGTTGTTCACCGACGGATCGGCCTTGCATCCTTCCGAGCCGATGCTGCGTCGGGCGGGCTGGTCTGTCGTCAGCGTGGGCGGCTCGGGAGCTATGATGGCCGTTGCTTTCGGCCCCTGTGCCTTGGGATTCCGCTCCTCTCCAGACCGCCAAGGATGGGGAGGAGGATGGATTTCTCATGCTCAGCCAGCTGTCTGTTGGGGTTGAGGGTGTTTGGACCGACCGTGCCGCCACGGTCGACTGTGCCAGGTCAAGGCCCAGAGCGGCGGCCTCTCGGAGTCCACCAGCCCACATCTGGTCTCAGATCCACACCAGTTTTGAAGAAGGTTTGGTGGTGCACAAGACTAGAGCCCACACTGGCGAAGCTGACGTGGGGCCGGGGTTGGGCCACTCGGTGGGCAGGGACAGCGAACGGCATTGCGGATGCCTTAGCCAAGCGTGGCGCTGGCCTGCCCCCGTCCACATCGCTGGCAGCTGATCAGTTGAGAGGCCTTCAGATGTTGGGTCGGGAAGGAGGGGGGGAGGAGGAAGGAGCAGGAGGAGGAGGAGGAGGAGGAGGAGGAGCAGGAGGAGGAGGAGGAGGAGGAGAAGGAGGGGGAGGAGGAGGAGGAGGAGGAGGAGGAGGAGGAGGAGGAGGAGGAGGAGGGGGGGAGGAGGAGGAGCGGAGGAGCCCAGTCTCCTCTGTGAGCTCACGGCCCAGCGCCTGCGAGTTTTTTTCGACGCTGCATGCTCAGCGGTGGTCGCGGGCCCCCTGTCTGATCTCTTGCGTGCCGTGTGGGGCCTTCGCGCGGGGGGGCGGTCCGCGGGCTGGCCGAGCCCCGTCGACCTGCGTCGGCGGGTTCAGGCCTTCGCCAGCAAAGGAGGCGGATGCAGCTGCGACGGCCCCCCAGGTGGCTCAGCAGGTAGGAGGGCTGGAGTTTGGGTGAGCCCGAGCCCCCCCCCCCCTCCCCTTCTGACCCGACGTCATTGGCGGCGTCGGTCCTATCCTCCCGTCTTCGGCGTTCCGCCCCCCCCTCCCCCCCTTGGGCGTCGTCCTGGACGCCAGGGCGCCTGGAGGGGGAGGAGGAGAAGGAGGGGGAGGAGGAGGAGGAGGAGGAGGAGGAGGAGGAGGAGGAGGAGGAGGAGGAGGAGGGATCTAAACTTGGTCGAGTTCTGGGCCCAGCAGGCCGGCGCCCTCCCTGAGAGCGGGAGAAGGCGGGGCCTGACGGGGCGGGGGGGCGGCGTGTCGGAGGAGGGAGATGACCGTTTAGGTTCTCTGTTTTTTTTGCGGCAGGTGGCTTGGACATATGCCGCCTCCTTTTATCTTAATGATGTCCTCTAGCCGATCAGATTCATCAGCATCCCCTCCGCCTCCTGCCCTCCTCGTCATCCTCTTCCTTCACCTCCTCGTCCTCCTCCTCCTCCTGCTCCAGCCGATCCCGCAACTCCTCCTCCTCCTCCTCCTCCTCCTCCTCCTCCTCCTACTCCACCTCCTCATTCTCCTCCTCCTCCTCCTCCTCCTCCTTCTCCTCCCCCTCCTCCTGCTCCTCGCCGTCGTCGTTGTGCCGGTGCCGCTGTTTTTAATATGTTTGGACCTCGCGCCTTGACGAGGCGCGCGCGTGGCCAATCCTGAAATCCAGGAATCCCTTTGCCCCTCATCCTCCTGCCAGTCCCTTTCATCACCAGCACCATCTTCATCCTCATTTGCAGCACCATCGCCATCGCCACCATCATCAGCATCATCAGCAGTGTCGTCGTCATCATCACCACCATCAGCATCATCATCATCATCATCATCATCAGCATCATCATCACACCATCACCATTTTCATACTCATCACCATCATCACCATCATCATCATCATCAGCTTCATCATCATCAGCATCATCATCACACCGTCACCATTTTCATACTCATCACCATCATCACCATCATCATCATCATCATCATCAGCTTCATCATCATTATCATCATCATCGTTGCCGTCGCCGTCTTCATCATCATCACCATCGTCAGCAGCATTGCCATCAGCAGCAGGAGCAGCATGATCATCATCAGCAGCAACATCATCATCATCACAAGTATAATCAGAATCATCATCGTCATCATCATCACATTATCCTCATCCCCCTCCTCATCATCATCGTCCCCATCCACATCCCCCCATCCTCCACCACCCCCGCCATTTTCGCGCCTCACAGGACGCGGTTCCCGGCTCGCTGCGGGGCTATTTCCGCGACCACTGGAAGACCCTCGGCCTTAACGGCCCGCTCCACGTTGGCGAGAACGCGGTGCACGCGTCGGCCAGCGCTTTCGAGGCAGCGGCGTGGTGCGTCGGCCGGTCGCCGCTGCCTCTGCCGCCCCCCATGAACTGACTTTTGGCCCCTGTACCTGTACGACCCCCAGGCTTGTCCGGGTGGACTTCTGGAGGGGCTAGAGGTGCGTGCTGATGGATGGGTGTCCCCGCTCGAACGGTGGCCCCCTCTCGGTGTCCGAGAACCCACACCCATCCCTAATGCGCAGCCTCAAACCGCGAGACGCGGGTCAGGCCCCCGATGAGTGTTGTGTGTGTTGTGTGAGTTGTGTGTTGTGTGTGTCGTGTGTTGTGTGTTGTGTGCGTTCTGTGTGTTCTGTGTGCTGTGCGTGTTGTGTGTTGTGTGTTGTGTGTTGTGTGTGTGCTGCCTGTTGTCTGTTGTGCGTGTGTTGTCTCGGTGTTGTGTGCTGTGCGTTGTGCGTGTTGTGTGTTGTGTACGTTGTGTACGTTGTGTACGTTGTGTATGTTGGGTGTGTTGGGTGTGTTGGTGTTGTGCGTGTTGTGTGTTGTGTGTTGTATGTGTTGTGTGCTGTGTGTTGTGTGTTGTGTGTGTTGTGTGTGGCGTGTGTTGTGTGTGTGTTGTGCGTTGTGTGTTGTATGTGTTGTGTGATGTGTGTGTGTGTGTGTTGTCGCTTCGTCAGCCTCGGGGGGTCGAGCAAGCTTTTCTCCGTGCTGTGTGCATCTAGATGCCCATTTGGGGCCCTGGGGCAGCCAGCTGCTGTGTCGGGCCCTGAGATCATGGCGTCGCATTTCTCCCAACTATCATGTGAAGTTGGGTCCTCGTTTTGAAGTGAGCGCCCTGCGTCTTCTCCTCTCCTCCTCCCTCCTCTCATCCGTGCCTCTGCCCCTCCTTGTACCCCGCTTGCTCTTTCCTCCGCATGCTTCCCCCTCATTATCATCCCGCATCTGCCCCCCGAAGGCGATGGTAGAGCGCATCAATTGGCTCGGCATCTCGTTCGAGGACGACCCGCTCGGGCGGGAGCTGATCCGCAGTCACGTGCCCGTCGCCACCCTGAAGAGCTGGTCGTCGGACCCGGTCGTGTCCTACGACGGCCGGGAGGCGTGCGCGGGGGGCGAGAAGGTAGGAGGAGGAGGAGGAGGACGAGGAGGAGGGTATTGATCTGTCGTCCTTTCCGTAGTGTCCTGTCGACCTCCTTGGCCTCCCGAATCCCTGTCCAGAAACGTTCGTTCCAATAGTTGCCGCCCCTCACTTGTAGAGCCACACAGGTACAGCACCCAGACGCCCCACTTGCACGCCGCCTGCCCGTGTTACGGAGGCGCTTGTTCCACAGGTCCGTGCGGAGGCATGGGGAGTGGTGGCATGATGAAGCTGAGGCCTCCTCAGCTACGCGCCAGTAGGAGGATACATGCACAGAGCTACCAACGGCACGGGCAAGGAAGCCGAAGCGAACACAGAGAGAGAGAGAGAGAGATCCAGACCCATGCTTGGCCAAGTATGACGGTCTATGTGTCGAAGGCCCTCTGCGGTTCAGATGTCATGCGGCAGTTTCGTTCGGCACTGCGCCGCGAGATCTCGCGCGACCTGGCATACCGCGAGAGTGCGCGGCAGACCTCGAGAACAACACCATGGTGCTGGCCGCGTTCCTCGAGCCCACTTCGGGCCAAGAGAGAGAGGGACCATCACGCCCCCCAACCCAAAGATGATGATGAGATGGTGCCCTCCCTGCCTCCCAGTTTCCCATGGGATCTCTGGCCCTCGCGGTACGCGGTGCGCGCAGAGTGGCTACTCCTCCCCCTTCGGACGCGCAGTGCACCGCCCGGGGAAAGGCCCCTGAAGTTTCGTTTGCCCCCGCCTTTCGGGTAACCCCCCCCCGCCATATCAACGGTGCAGATATCCATGACTGAAATACGGTGGGGGCGTTGGTCAAGGAATGTGCCCAGGAGGTTTCTGACCCTGGAGAAATCCTTATCTGGTGAGGGCGGCGGTGCTACCCATGGCCAGTCCACGATTGGCGTTCCGCCGGCTTCAAGACCCTGGACTCCTTATCCCCAATGCCCTCACCGTGGTCACGAGGAGCCACTACTCCTGCATCCAGCTCGAAGTGGATCGCAGGGGCAGTCCGAAACAGCCTCCAGTGAAAACCAGTACGGTCTGATCGGGCCAGCTCTGGCAAGCTCAAGGCGAGGGCTATTCTGCCAGCTCCGACGCCGGAGTCCCCTGACAGCCTCCCACGTACACGACCCGAGACAACATGTTGCAAACGACGGTCGGAAAATTTGATTCGCGTGTCGCGCCGCCTGCTTTGGCCCAGAACGCTTCGGCGCAGCACGCGAGCCACGCCACGGTCGCAGTCCCAAAGCGTCGACGTCCCCAGCGTTTCCCAGCTGCCCGCCGCGCGGAGCGGAGCGACACGCACGCTCTAGCCGTTTGCAGGGCAGGGCGTGCCGCCGGGGCCACTGCCGCGACGCGCGAGGCAAAGCTTCCCGACCACACGCTTCCACCAGTGCGCCCCGCGTCCGCACCGTGGCACCGCCCCTGCCCGATCAGCCTCTGCAGCTCCGCGGTGCTACCGACCACGGCACTGGCAGGAAGAGGCCCCAGGGGCAAGCTGGGCCAGGGAGGAATCCTGGAACGAGGGATGTCTCACTCTCAAGAGGTGAGTGGCCATCTCCTTTCTGAAAGTCGCCACATGCGCTTCCGTCCATCAATATTTTCCTCCCTGCTCAGGAGACCCCCACCCACACAATCGATGCCGGCAGCTACAAGTTGTTTTGGTGGGTAAAATCTCTGGGGCTGGAATAAGGAGGAGGAGCATATGATGTTTTCGCGGTTGTTGCCGCTGCTTCTAGCAGCTGTGCTATCCAACAACCCTTTTCCCCCCAAACCCATGCACATCCCCTCCCACCCCCCCGCAAGTTCCACCTATCCCAGCTCGCAGCAGCCAGACCAGAAAGCTGGAGGAGGAGGAGGAGGAGGAGGAGGAGGAGGAGGAGGAGGAGGGACGAGGAATAAGATGGAGGGTGATGCGAGATTCAGTGCTACCTGCAGCCTGATCATCACCATGCTGCTGCTCCCAGCGAGCCAAAGCGGGTAAGGCGGCACTGCTGGCGCTGCCGCTCAAACAGCTCCAGCTGCGGCGTCCAGGACTCGCTGTCGTCGAGCTCCGAATTACTGGCGGAGTCCTGCTCCTCAGCATGGGTTGGCGGCGCGCAAAGGGGGGCAGGGGGAGGGGGGAAGGCTTCTTGGAAGGAGGCTGCTTCTGAGAAGGCGCGGGCCTTATCTACAGATCTAAGGCTGGCGCATTCTAACGAGCAGCCTCCTTCTAAGAAGCCTTCACCTCTTCCCCCCACCCCCCTGTGCGCGCCGCCAGATGGGGCCTCGCGCCACTGAGCCTCCTGCTCGGATACCCGCGACGTCAGTCATCTCTGCCGCCTGCGGGGGCGCGAAGATTACAGCGCTTCGCGCATCGCAGCACGGGTCGGACAGCTGGCATTCTCGGGGTGGCGGCGCGCGGACTGGAGGATGCTTGCGCATCGCGCGTCGCGGAGCGCGACACGCGGAGTTCGGCGACCTGCGTGGTCGTGCCGATCTGGGCTTGTATGGCCTTGAGCACGTCGTCGAACTGCCCCTGCTGGTACTGCAGCTCCCGCCCCGCCTGCTCGTAGTGGATGCCGAGGACCACGTGGACGCCCTCACCGCGGGGCGCTCTGTACATCTTGTCTTCGAGGGTGTGGAGGAGGAGGAGGAGGAGGAGGAGGACATGGAGATGGAGAAGGCGGAGGAGGAGGAGAAGGAGAGGAGGAGGAGCAGAAGAAGAAGAAGGAGGAGGAGGAGGACGGGCGAGAGGGAAAGCAGAAATAGGGGTAGGGGGAGGAGGAGGAGAAGGAGGAGGAGCAGGAGGAGGAGGAGAGGAGAGGAGGAGGAGAGGAGAGGAGAGGACGAGGAGAGGAGAGGAGAGGAGAGGAGAGGAGAGGAGAGTGGGGGGGACGAGGAGAGGAGAGGAGAGGAGAGGAGAGGAGAGGAGAGGGAGGAGGAGGAGGAGGAGGAGGAGGAGGAGGAGGAGGAGGGGAGGAGAGGAGAGGGGGAGGGAGGAGGAGGAGGAAGGAGGAGGAGGAGTGAGGAAGAAGAGAGAAAGAGATGAATTGAGAGACGGAGAAGAGGTACGAGGAAGAAGGCGAGATGAGGGCGACGACGGACGACGAGGAGCGAGGGAGAGGGAGAAGGAAGGAGATGAAGAGGGAGGAGGAGAGGAGTGAAGAGGAGGAGGAGGGAGGAGGAGGAGGAGGAGGATAAGGCGAAGGAGGGCAAAGAGGAGGAGGAGGAGACGGAGAAGGATGAGGAGAAAAGGAGGAGGATGAGGTGGAGGATGAGGAGGAGCAGCAGCAGAGGGGGGAGACGGAAAGGGGGAAGGAGGGGGAGGAGGAAGAGGCGGAAGAGGGGAGGAGGCGGAGGAGGAGGAGGAAGAGGAGGAGGAGAAGGAACAGGCGGAGGAGGAAGACGACGACGACGACGACGACGATGGCGAGGAGAGAGTGAGGGAGAGGGAGAAAGAGGAGGATGAGGAGGAGGAGGAGGAGGAAGAAGAAGAAGAAGAGGAGGAGGACGAGGAGGAGGATAATGATTAGGATGAGGAGGAGGAGGCGACGGCCGAGAAGGCGTCTTTGTTCGACCTTTTCGAGAACCTCGGCTGTTCCGAGTCCATCGAGCTGGCGACGGCGCTCCTCCGGGATGGGCAGCCCGCGCCCTCGCTGGAGACATAGTAGGCCGCCGTCGCCAGAGCACCGGCGGCGCTCTGAGGGGGTGTTCTCCTCGAAGTTCATGCCCCTCACCTTCTGGCAAGGTTCTCTGACGTTTCCGTCGGTTCCGACGGGTCTACGTAGCAGGGGGACCCGTGCGCGGCCAGACATGGGCCTTGAAAGGCAGGTCCCATGCCCTGAGCCTGCACAGCACCGTCGGGGTAGCCCAGGCCAGCCTAGCTGGAGGCCAGGTGCTGGGTATGGTGCCCCCCTCCCATTGCCTTCAACCCTGTATCGAAGGTGAAGGCGTGGGGGGCGGACCTCTGGCAAAGGAGGTACAGATACAGATCCAGAGGCGTTCCAGCAGCTGCGCCTCTCCGAGAGCGCCGAGGGAGTGGCCAGATCGTCCCCGAAAGGCGGCTGGGGACCCGAGCTGTGCCCTGGAAGCCAAGTGGCCCCTCGCCTGGCCTTTGGCGCGCGGCTTCCAGGGGTCGTGAAGAGAAGCAATGGACTTGGCATCGCTCTGACGTGTGCATCTTCCTTCGGCGAGGACCATCGAGGAGAATCCTTGATCATTTGGCGAAAAAACCATGCACGAAACCGAAAAAACACAGGGAGTCGACGTCCGAGCGATGGCCAGTGGAAGGTCTTAGGTTGTCTTCGGCCTCTGGGGGGCCTCTACCGGGCGTCAACAGGAGGGCGGCTCGGGATCAAGGGTTGGCCACGGAGAAGGGGGGGTCCAGAACTTCGACGTCGTGATTGTTCACAACGTCGGCCGCCAGGAGTCCTCCCCTGGGACCAGCGTTTCATCCTGGGTCGTCTTTGTATGTTTTTGTTGGCAGCCCCAGCGCTTGGCGAAGGCCCCCAGAGACCAAACGCTTGCAGCATAAATATAGCGATGTTGTTCCATGGTATGGCCGATACCTCCTGTGGTGGGCGGGCATTCTGCGAAAAACAGCAACACACCATTCAGACAACAACGAACAAACAAACAAACAAACGACGACGGCAGGGTTTCTGGACTGAAGATTTCTCTAAGGCAGGGCCATTTCGCTCCGATCGACCCCATCCGGTATCGATTCCTGCCGGCCCGATCTGGACCGATTCTGGTACTCCGACGCTCCGATGCGGCCCGATGCTGGCACGGCGTTGCTGTGTGCACCCCGGCGCAGGCGATCTGGACTCGACCCCGCCTGTCCGTGCCGATGCGGCCCGATCCGGCGCACGTTCCGATTCGATCCGATTTGATCATACATTGGGAGCCCCCAAACCGGGTGGTGAGATACCAGGTGGCGACTTGGAATCCCCAAAAAGGTCACCGCTGGGTTTGGGGACGCGGGGTCACCACCGGGTTTTGTGACTCCTGGACCCACCAGTGTCCGGGACATCCTCGGAAAACCGCACGAGTCCCCAAACCGGGTGGTGACACCAAATCGCCCGAGACTCACCGCCAGGTGTTGTCACCACCACGTTTGGGGACTACCAAATACAGCGAGCGGCTTGAATAAGGAACACTTCCTTCTCAAAAGGGGCTCGGTCGTTCCTCGGGTTGCATGCGTTCTGCTACCTTCTTGGCGGCGAGCCCCCCTGGTGTTCCTTCGGACTTCGTAGGCTCACTTGGAACGACGAGGGGCCTCGTTCCTTGTTCCTCGTTCCTGAGGTCAGGCCGAGGACTGTATTCGATGTTGGTTGACCCTGCCAAGGTCCGGCGGGGTAAGGACCAGGACAGATCGCTCCAGAGCGTCCCGGAGATCTGGGACGGCCGCGGAGCCCGGCGCGTCCCTGGATCTCAGCGATCCCCGATGCTCCCGGTCCGATTGAGGACCCGTCCTGGCGTCTCCTGAGAAGGTGGCCTTGCCAAGCAGGAACCGAGCCTCCTTCTCCTCTTCGTCTTCCTTCCCAGACATCCGACGTCGTGCTTCCACATATCCTGAGATTGGGTTCTTGTTATCACTCAGACGCCTCCGACTCACACATGACACCTCCCACCTCCCTCTCCCCCCACTCCTCGTTCTCACCCAGGCTCAATCATACTCAGACTTGCTCACGCACTAAGAATCAGACACGCTCACGCTCACTCAAAATCAGACCCACCCACACTCAGACCGACTCACTGTCAGACTCACTCACACTCACACTCACTCACACTCAAATTACGTCAGACTCAGACTCACTTGCACTCAGACGCGCTCGCACTCAGACTCATACGCACTCTGACTCATTCGCACTCAGACTCATTCGCATTTAGACTCACACATCATTTTCAGATTCACCAGCGCTCAGACGAGCGAGGCGCTAGCTTCAGCACGCCAAGGGGAGACGCCGTGGGAGTATGACATTCAATTCTTCGCGTCCAGATTGTGGGGATGTCTCGGGCGGTTTGCTTGTTTCGCCCCCCCCATGTGTTTCTCCTTTCGTGGTCCAGTTCCCACCGCTGTATAGCAGGCGTGGCACCCGGGCACCCCAAGTGCGAGCCGCCACTGAATATGGCATTCCATTCTTCGTGTCCGGATCATGGAGATGCTTCGGGCGGTTTGCTTGTTTCGATCTCCCAGATTTCGCTTCCTTGGTTGTCGAATGCTCACCACTATAAAGCAGACGTGGCACTCGGGCGCCTCAACGGCGAGGCGCCGGGGGGTATGACACTCCATTGTTCGCGTCCAGACTGTGGGATTGTCTCAGTCGGCTTCCTTGCTTCGCCCCACAACGTGTTTCCCAATCATCCTGTTTTGTTGGGTCCTCGCTTTGAAGAGACAGCGCCGCACGTTCCTCACTCCTCATCCCCCTCCTCCCTCCTCGCATCACCATCATCACCATCATCATCAGCAGTAGCAGTAGCAACATCATCATCATCATCATCATCATCATCATCAGCGTCAGCATCAGCATCAGCATCATCATCATCATCATCATCATCATCATCATCATCAGAATCAGAATCAGAATCAGCATTGTCATCATCAGCAGCAGCAACAGCATCAGCATCAGCATCAGCATCAGTCTCATCATCGTAATCATCAGCAGCATCATCATCAGCAGCAGCATCATCACGATCGCCATCATCATCACCATCATCATCGTCAGCATCGCCGTCATCACCACCATCATCGCGATCAGCTTGCGCACAAAACTCACATATTTCGTGGCCCCACGGGGAGCTCCACCGAAGGTCCCAGTGGCGCAGCCCGCGTGCGCCCGCCCGGCCCATTTCGGCACACACCTCACACGTTTCGTGGCCCCACAGAGAGTTCCACCGATGGTCTCCGCGGTGAGCTCGCGTGCGTCCGCCCGACCCATGTCGGCACACCCTTCGCACGGTTTGTGGCTCCATAGGGAGCTCCACCGAGGGCCTCCGTGGTGTGTTCGCATGCGTCCCCGCCCGACCGATTTCGGCACACCCCTCACACGCTTCGTGGCCCCATAGGGACCTCCACCGAGGGCTTCCCTGGTGAGTTCGCATGCGTCCGCCTGACCCATATCGGCACACCTCTCAGAAGCTTCGTCTTGTCCCAGCGAGCCCACGGGTCTAAGAGAGCATTTCGGCAGTCGTTGGTCAGTTGGTTTTCGGACACATGCCGCGCCTTGCCGCGCGAGCGTCTAATTGTATCTCTGAAAGCATAGTGCTATGCTCTGACGTTGCATTTGCGCGGTATGAATCAGACCGTCTTCGGCGAGAAGGGTTTGATGTCAAGCCGTGCAACCGGGCAGGATCTCAGGGGATCGATTATGTGGGGCAAAAGGCATGCACGACGAAGTAGTTCGGTTCGAGCGTGCTTCTCAAAGGTATAGTCTACCAGCAGGTTCACGCGTGTTGGCACCATGGCTGTGGAAGTGTAGGGCCACCAGTTGCAGGGAGTTTTCGGGAGTGCCATGACGCGGTGCCGTCGTCAGATAGGACATGGAAGACTCTGAACAACGTTATCCGTAAGGGCTTCGCCCCCTGCCGCCGGCCCCCTCTCGCGAAACCATGAGGCCTTGGCGCCCGCTCCGCCCGCCGTGAAGGCAGAGGCGGGACTTACACGCGAAGCCGATGAGTAAATCGGTTTGAAAAAAATGATATTTGATGATAAAATGAAAATTCGGTGTTGTATTTCGATCGGTTTATGGATTCGGACACGTGAATGGCGCGTAATGTACGAGGGTATGGCCCCGGGTCGCAAATATAGTCTAAGTTACGCAGGTGCTGCTTCGGGACACGCGACTATCAGCGTAATTACGCTTGTCTATGGCTTCGGGTTCGCAAATATTCTTTTTGCGCCCGGAGACGCAGCATTGCGTAATGTACGGGTTTTATGGCTTCGTGGGACCGAATACGGCGTATGCTGCAAAGGTGATGTTTCGCGGGAAGCGAACACGGTGTCTTCACGAGGGTCTATGCTCGGGACGCGAATATGGTGTAATATATTAGGGATTATGGCTTCGGGGACGCGAATATCATGTATGTTCACGTGTCCCACGCCCCCCCAGGAATTCAGGCAACGCGATTTGGGCGTGGTAGAAAAAGCTGGTTTGGGGCTCCCCCCCCCCCCTCGCGCGTTCAGCAACAACTACCAGCAATTAGCAGCAAGGAGAAAGAAAGCAGGACTGTAACAGTGGAAACTGGAAAACTGAAACCGGAACAGGGAACAGCAAAACCCCGGGCCTACAGCGTGGTGTTTGAATTTTTCTTTTGGTGTTTATTTTGTTGTGTTTTCCTGGTTTTGTCCTGTGTTTTTAGATATTTTGTTTTTTTGCTTTTGTTGTGTTTTTAGTTGTTTATGTGTTTTTTGATTTTGGTGATGCTTGTGTTGCGTTTTGTTGGTATATTTAGGTCTTTGTTTGTCCTTTATTTGTGGTTTTTGTTTGTGTGGTTGTTGTGTGTTGTGGGCGACCCCACAAGGCAGGGGGGGAGGGCCAGCGGATTTGACCTGCGGTGTCCTGGATGGGACCTTGGGTACGATTTACCCGGATCGTGCTTTGCGCTGTGGTTGCAGCCGTATTTCACGTTGGTTGCATCTCGTCTTGGTATTGGTTTAGCGTGGCCGAAGATACTACGTCGTCTACGGGAGGCCCTTGTGGGACATAGATCGCGGCTGGTTCGGGGTTCAACGGGAGCCGTCATCTTGCACTTGCAGGGGGCGGGGTGGGTCTTTGAAGAGCCTTGGCGTTGGAAGGCATCCGAGGACCACCACGGGGACCTAGAGGCCTGAAGGCTTCCCCCTTCTTTGCTTTCTTTTATTGATTTGTTTTTTCCATTTTTTTTATTCTATTTTTTTATTGTTGTACTTTTATTTTTCTTTTTTTTTTAAGTTTTTTTATCTGTTTATTCGTTCTTTTATTTTTTTTTATCATTTAATTTTTTGATTTTTTTTTTTTTTGCTTTTTCTCTTTTTACTCCTCCTTTCATTTATATTTTTTTTTTTATAGGTTTTAGCTTTCTTTTTTTTTTTTTTTTACGTTTTTTTTCCCCCTACGGACCTTTCGGCCAAGAATATCGATGACGATCCTGAGTTGTTGTTGCAGGATCTTGTCAGGTCTATCCAGGCTAAGCCATGGCGCAACGCGTCATGACTTTTCTTGTGAAGAAGGTGTGCAGCATGGAGTTGACATGTTCCCACTGCGCAAACTCACTCGACAGCTGCAGTCGGTGCGACACGGTACCAGGCTGAGCGAGTTGATGGTGTCTACCGCTACCCGTTGGTCCTGGCCTCGATAAACGCAGCAAGATGAACCGTGGGGACCACGAGGTTTTGTGTGTTCGCTGTCATGTCAGACCTGAATCCCCATTCCATCGGGCCTGGTAGTGTTACCGATTCCGATCATTTGATCAGTGCTGCGTCTGCCCAGCATGAAGCTGAGCCCTGGTTTTGGCTGCGAGGGCTGCTGTCAGCCCCTTAGGCCACAATTCCGCCGCCACCCACAGCTGAAGCTTGGACGCTGATTGGCACGGAAGGCCAGAGGTAGCTGAGTGTTGAGGCAGAGGGACGGATATTGAACCTATCGTGGTTTTGGGGGATGCGCCTGGAGGTAAGGAGTCGGGTGATACCAAATGTATGCGAGTAGGGTTGGCCATCAGTGCTCTCACTTCGTACGATCCGTGCGTCATTCGTGCTGGAGTCAAGGGTCTTCTGACAAGCAAAGGGCAAAGCGCACCCAGAGGCCTAATGTGGGCATGTCCTTTAGCATTGAAGCATACTGCCGATCATCTTGAGTATGCCACTGGCTGTGAGGCCGTCACCAGGGGTTTCTACGACAGGATGTTCGATTGGCCCACTGGGGCTGACAGGGATCTCTGGAATCAAATCGGTGAGCATGTTCAGGAACGCCGGGGAATGATTTCGATCTTGCTTGTGACCTCGCACCCCACGAGTGGACAGATTCTTAACACAGGCACCCGGTCTTGGCTTGCCGTGGGGAACTACTGCGTTGATGAGTCGGCCTCCTAAGCGGCGCAGGAAGGTAGGATCCCACCCGAGAAGAATCATGAACATAGAGAGGACGGCCTGGTTCGTCAGGCACCGACTTCTGAGGGCGACACTCGGCACGCTGCAGGCCAAGGAGTGCCGTGGAGCGCCCGCGGGGGGGGAGTGACCTCCCCCTCCTGCCCCTTCGGTCTTTCGCGCCTTCTTTTCTCAGCATGGCTCGGGTGAGTCCAGACAGAGATGCGCGCGTTGTTCCGGCTCTTCGACAAGAGTTTCGGCATCCAAATGGATTGCCTCTGAATGTTTCCAGCTTGCGTGTGCCAATGGCAGGTTCGGAGCCCTCCAGGGCGGCTACACATTGCTGGGGGTTGGGCGGGGGGGCTCACAAGGTGCGTTGGGCGTATGTTCAGAAGATTCGGTGCTGTACGGGACGTGGCCGTTTCGCGCACTCAGATGAGAGGGTTGGCCAAGTCGCGCACGAATACGGGCGCCCCACATAGGAAGGAGGATTCATCAATATCGATCGAGGGTAAGTGGCCCAAGCTCTTTAGCAAGGCTGAGCCACAGCGCCGCTCGTAGTTCGCTTCGGCCACTATGATGGATAGTTCGCGAACGCGGAACCCACGGGTAGCTCCACCGAGGCCTTCCTCGGTGAGTTCGCATGTGTCCGCCCGACACACGTCGGCATGCCCCTCACACGGTTCGTGGCCCCATAGGGACCTCACCGGGGGCCTCCGTGGTGAGTTCGCATGCGTCCGCGCGGCCAATGTCGGCAGACCCCTCAAACGCTTCGTGGCCACATAAAGAGCTCCGCCGAAGGCCTCCATGGTGAGTTCGCATCGTGGCCCTGGCGGAGGAGGTCGACAGGCGCGAGAGGCTGTCGCGGGGGGTGCTGGTCTCGAGGATCCTTGGATCGCGAACGGCTCATAGGGACGTGCTCATCAGGAACTGTTCCCAACACGCGCGGGACCTCCCCGAGGACGGGGCAGGGATGGCGCTGTGGCGGGCAGCCGCGCGCGGACCGCGCCGCGGCGCTGGGGGCGTCCCTGCTGCTGGAGTTCCTGATTTTCTTCCTAGTGCTGGGCGCTGGGAAGCACTGCGTGATGATCGCCTTCCGGTACCGGTGGCGCAGGCGAGGCATAGCGGCCCCCACTGCGTCGAGGATGTTCGAGGCGGCGGCAGGGCTGACGGCGCTTCGCCTTCGCACACGCCTCAGGCGCGCGGCGGGACCGCTGCTTTCGCCAGATGCGCGTTCGTGGGCGATGACGACAGCGCCTCCTCCGACCAGGGCCTTACCGAGGAGGAGGAGCTGGCTTCCGTCGACGCTTCGGAGCGTGGCTCTTCTCATGCAGGCTGCGCTCTGGGCGGCTCCGCGTCCGCCGCCGCGCCTTCGGCGCTTCGGGCCGACGCTCCAGAGTTTTCGCCCGTCTTTCAGGAGCTGTTTCCGTGTTTCGAGGAGGCCAACTACACGCTGGCAGAGTGCTCGGCGACTCCCGAGGTGGACTCCCTTCCCGAGGCGCACCTGCGGCGCCACGGCGTTCTCGGGCATCCCTGCTGCTGCGCTGCCGCCGTTCGTCAGTCGCTGTGTGGAGGGGTGGCCGCGCCATGGTCGCTACGGGAACGCTGGCGGCCCAGGCTCACCAGGTGTAGGCGCCACTGACAGCAGTGTGGATAGAACGGCCAGACCTTTTGCGATGCACTGCTCGTCGTTTTCCTCGTCGTTGGCGACCGTTCACAGCTTGCAGAGCGGTGAACGCTTCTCGGATATTCTACTTCTCGAGCTCTGTTACCGTGGGCGCAAGGCGGCGCCCTGGTGGATTGCTCGCATGGTGGTCTTCGAAGCGTGGCTCGACCCTCTGCTGCATCCTCCTGAGCAGGCCCTCGCCCCAGCGTTCGAGTCTATCGAATCGGCCGACGATTCCTCTGACTTGACTTGGCGGTAGGGCTGTCAGTCTCCAGAATGCATGCTCGTGCTGCGCGAGCCGCGCCGATCGTCAAAAATTACCCCAGTGCGACCCTACCTAGAAGTTGGAGCCCCTAGGAAAGCAGCATTAGTTGCTATGCTATGCAATGCCATGCTATGCTGCGCTATGCTATGATATGCTATGTTATACTGCGCTATGCGATGCTATGATATGCTGTGCTCATATATGCAATGTCATGCTGCGCCGTGCTATGCTAAGCTATGCAATGCTATGCGATGCTAAGCTGCGCTATGCTATGCTGCGCTGTGCTATGCTGTGCTGTGTTGTGCTGCGCTATGCTATGATATGCTATGCTATGCGAAGCTTGGCTATGCTATGATATGTTGCGCTGCGCTATGCTACGCTACTCTATGCTACGCTATGTTGTGCTCTGCTATGCGAAAGCTCAGCGAAGCTAAGATGAAGGTAGTAAGCTTAATCTGAGCTAAGTTGAAGCTAAGCTACGTTAAGATGAAATAAGCTACGCTAAGATGAGATAAGCAACGCTAAGCTAAGGGGGCGTAACTGGGGGAACCGCGGGGCGGATACTGGGGGAACCGCCCGGGGCGCTTTCCATTGCCCGGCCCCTTTTAAGCCCAGAGAATAGGAACCCTTTTAGACAGAGCCTAGGTCGGGAAAGGAGCCTCATTGAAGGCCCCAGTGGGAATGTCCACATGCGTCCCCGCCCGACCAAGTTCGGCACACCACTCACACGTTTTGTGGCGTCAGAGGGAACTCCACCGCGGCCCTCCGCAGTGACTTCGCATGCCCCCGCCCGACACATGTTGGCACACCCCTCACACGTTTCGTGGCCCCATCGGGAGCTCCACCGACGGCCCCGGCGCAGTTTGCTGGCGCGGTTCCCCGCCGAGCACGTGCCCATTGCGGCACACCTTTCGCAAGTTTTGTGTCCCCATAGGGAGCCCCGCCGAAAACACCAACGGCAGGGTGCATATGCAGCCCCCTGCCCACAGCATGCCCATGTCGGCACACCCCTTACACGTTTCGTTGCCATGTGTGGATCTCCGCCGAAAGCACGAACGCCAGGGTTCGCATACGACTCCCCGCCCACCGCATGTTGATTTCGGCACGCCCCTGACACGGTTCGTGGCCCCATAGGGGAGTTCATCTTCTTTCGGTTCACTTGCCTCGCGGTACTCACACTTGCACCTGGTTGGGTTTTTCGCCAAGATTATGTGTTCAAGCGTTTTTCTGCCCTCCTGAAAGACCCATGATCAGCGTTGCATATCAGGCGTGACATTGGGGCACCCCGAGCGGGACCCACCAGGGAAGAGGGACATTCGCCCGTTCGCGCCCAGATTGTGGGGATGTTTCAAGCGGTTTCCTTGCTTCATGTTTTGGGATAGCCCCCCGGTCACTGCGACATAGCACGCGCGGCATTTGGGCATGCCCAAGAGGGGAGCCGCCAGTGAGGGGATATTCGCCCGTTCGCGTCCACATTGTGAGCATGTCTCGGGCGTTTTGGTTGGTTTTGCCCGACTGGTCCCCGCCTTCTGAGAGCCCCATGATCACCACCGCGATGTAGCAGGCATGGCATGAGGTGCCCAGCCCGGGGAGCGTCTCAGGCGAAACGCTGGTTTGGGCACCCACGAACCTTCTCCTTTCAGAGCCCCAAGATCATGCCGATGTGGCAGCATTTGGGCACTCCTGGGGGGAGCCGCCAGGGAACGCTCAGTCGCCACAGGCTAAGATTCTCTCACTCAGATACTCACAGACGGGAGAGCCAGGAACTGAGCTACACATTCCGAGATCCCCGCGTCGATAAAGTTCACGACGTGGCTCCCCAGAGGTTTGGACCCCTTC